GGCTGACATGTGGTTTCAACAAGACGGTGCCATACGCCACACCGCACACGAAACATTGGCCCGATTGAGAGGCGAGTTCGGTGAACAGTTTATCTCACGTTTGGGGCCCGTCAATTGGCCGCCTAGATCGTGTGATTTAACGCCGTTGGACTATTTCTTATGAGGCCATGTTAAGGCTAATGTCTACAGGGATAAACCAGCAACGATTGACGCAGTGGAAGCCAATATTGAAGCATTTATTCGTGAGATACCGGCCGATATGTTGGAGAGAGTGTGCCAAAATTGGACCTTGCGCATCGGCCATCTAAAGCGAAGCCGCGGCCAACATTTACATGAAATAATCTTTAAACATTAAATTATATCGACCGTTCTATCGACTCAAATACAGATTTAATAGTTTTTTCAAATTTTTTGTGTTTTTTTCAAAAATCAAATCCTATACCTCTTAAAAAATCACCTGTTATAAGCATGGGCGCAAGCTTTTTCCTTACCGCGATACCGGATACATGGCAAAAATATTTCCTCGGGTTACTTAAAATTATGGACTTAAAGGTTTAAACAGTAGTACCAACAAAACATTGCGACTCTAACTGTACCAGTGACGTAGAAACTTATTTTTTTTCCTTACAGAGGAAAAACAAAATACTTCCTATGCCAGTAACTTTTCTGACACATCTATCGCGTCATCATGAAGCATTGTATATTAATTACATGATCTGTCTCCCTTGAAAAATTTTTGTCACACCATTACTTTTGGGGGAAAATTGGATTGAATATTTCAATTAAAAGCTGACTAACGTGTTGTTTATGCCACAGCGTTTAGTGTTCCATGGCGAATTCCAGCGTTCAATTCCTCCATTTACCGTTAAAATTATTACATCTACTTTTAAAAGTTTGTTATTTGTAAAATTGTGGGAATTTTTGTCTATGAATTATGAACTCATGTAACTTTTCAGAACCGGTAGCTTCCAAACTTGCCAGCCTATTTTTGTTCCAATTTCTGATCAACCCTTAAACCAACAGGTCTTCATATGACGTCAATTCATATACATATTTAACTCGCCATTTGAGTCCCAAAATGCAACTTGTTAGAATGTGGTCAAAATATTATATTTCATAACATATTATAGATTTCTAAAGAGGATAATAAACGTTAACGAAAGACAGTTCAAGGTAGGAAAGAGTTTTTTCTTTTATATTTCATATCTTTAGTCAAGTTCATTCTATCATTTGAATGATTCATGTTGATTGTATTTGTAAATGCACTTGTTTGGTAAAACTTTTCCACGATTCATGCTGTTTTCTGCACATCTGTTCAATGTAAATATGCAAAGGAGAAATGAACCGTTTCGCTTCTATTGATATTGATATACTAAGTGACATATAAATCCGAACACCCAGTTTAAATGGTTTTATTTTAATAAAATTTTGTATAAGTACTTAATGAAGCATAATAAGCAAATGATAAAAATTTAAAAATGATTGCATTGCATTGCCTTAAAGCCCTTTGACCTTTAATAATGTGTGGATGCACCCTGATGTGCTACGCGTTCTCCAACGCGCCTAGGCATGCTTCTGATCAGGTGGTCGATGTCCTCCTGTGGTATCTCATTCCAGGCAACCACCAACTCCTCTCGAAGTGCTTCTAGAGTCTGAGGAGGATGTTGTAAATTGAGTGATCTCCTACCCATCATATCCCACACGTGCTCAATTGGGGATAAGTCGGGAGATCTTGGTGGCCATGGTAACAATGTGACATCATTATGCAACATGTGGTCGGGCATTATCTTGTTGGAAAGTTGCATCTGCCAGGGTGTCAAGATAGGGTAAAAGATGGGGTTCTAGAACTTCGTGGATATAACGCTGCGCGTTCATGTTACCTCTAATGAAGATTAAAGGTGACCTGGAACCATAAGCTATAGCACCCCAAACCATAACTCCAACAGTGTGATGAACATGTCTTTCAACAAAAAACTGTGGATTCCTCCTTTCACCACGTCGCCTTCTAACCCTGGCACGACCATCGTGCATGCCTAAACAAAATCGAGACTCGTCACTGAAGCCAATACTGTTCCATTCCTGATCCCAGAGTGACCGTTGTCTGCACCACTCAAGGCGATTACGTCGGTGTTCTCGAGTTAAAGGGAGGACCCAGTGTGGCCGGTATGAAAACAAGCCAAAACTTCTCATTCGTCGGTAAACACTTCGCATGCCAATAGGTCTTCCGTGTTCTGCAAACCATTCATTTGCAATGGACCTGGTAGTGGAGAAACGGTTCCTTAAGGCCAATAATCTTAGGCGGCGATCTTCACGGTCTGTTGTTCTACGGCGGCGTCCAGTGCCCCTTGCTCTTTGCGTACGGCCTTCTCGAAGCCATGCCTGACAACACCTAACCACAGTGTCTACACTTCTTTGGACTGTAACTGCAATTGCCCGAAAAGAAAGTACAGCGTCCCGAAGTCCCACTATACGGCCCCTATCAAACTCACTAAGTTGACGAAATCGTACAGGTCTACGTACTCTAGGCATCGTAACCGATCGTAAAGGATGTCATGAACCAAAATCCGCCAACGTTGATTCTTTACTGCGGCTGAAATATTCATTTTTATGGAGTGAATTAAAAAAAAGCAGTATAAAAACCGGAATGTCCAACTGATAAGGCTGAAAATTTGTTCACTTGTTATTTACAGTAAGATAATTGCATTCACCAACTTTTATTAAAATAAAACCATTTAAACTGGGTGTTCGGATTTATATGTCACTTAGTATATTATTCATGTTCTAGCATGAATCTGAAACTAGCAGCATAAGTCCTGGTACACAATATTCTATTTCCTCAATCTTACAACCCATAACCTCGGTAACCGTTTCATCTATTTCGCGAGATGCTGTTGTAACCATAGCAAGTAGCATTGCCATATTGACGTGGAATTTCAACTGCTAACTGCCAATTTGTGTGATAAAACATCTCAACCCAATCTCAATTCTTTTAACCATCTCCGAAAAATATCAAACGATTCAAGAACAATACCCAAAATCAAATTCAGTACTAATGATGATAATGAGCTTTGGATATATACGAAAAAGACAATTATAGAAGCAGGCAATGGAATACAACAAAACAAATACCTAATCAAATCATAAATAACCAAATTGTCAATAGTTGTAAATAAATTTGCGTTACTTTCGAGAATTTTTGTACTTACCAAACGCGTTTTAGGAACGATGGAGCAGTTGATTTACTTGCGGTTTATTTTGAAACTCTTTAGAATTTCGCAGAAGCAAAATGCCATGTGAGTTTTTCCCCGATTAGTGGCGAGCTTTACGAGCCAATGGTAGTTTTTGGCCTACGTTTCAGTGGCAAAGAATTGAAAGAAAATATTAACCGCGCACTGGGATATATAGAAGGAAATCCTCATGTTAGCACGAGGGCATTTTCCCTTATCAGAATATTTTGAAGGACCACAGGTAAGTTCTAATGACCATCAAAATATAGGGATTTATTTAAATTTAAATTGTTTTAATTACTTTTAGAATGCACCCATATCATGTCGATTTGCATCAGGATTTGAAAGAGGAAGACTTTGATCGGAGGTTGGACTATTGTCATTGGATGTTAGGCATGGTACGCGGAAAATAGAGAATTTGTATTTCAAATTCTTTGGACCAATGAATCCACCTTTAATAGTGACGCAAGGAAGATTTTGATTTATGGGGACGATTAAAGGACATCGTGCTTCAGACTCAACCTACAACCAGAGAATATATAAACATCCGGATTTATAATGCAACACGTAACATACCGAAAGCAGAAATTGAAGCTACAGTTTCTATCTACACATTACTTTAAACAAATAAAAATTTAAGGGATTTCCGAATACAGTTTTCTTTAGCAGAAATATTAGGTTTGGAACACGATATCGAGATGCCATTTTCGCGAGCTGGCTTAGATATCGCTTAGCTACTTTTTGATAAAAACAGTCATACCAATGCATTTAACTTTTTTGAGAAAATGAACCACTTCTGTTGGAATGTCAAAAAAGCCCTCTAGCGGCCACATGTGAAACTAACAAAACCTCAAATATTATAACTTTTGTAGCCCAAAAATAGCTCTTTTTTTTGCTAGCCCAAATTTGTTAAAACCGGCTCAGCCATTTCGAAGATAGTGTGTTTCTTACGGAAACCTTTAAATACCCCCCACCACTTCCTTTTTAGAGATACAGCAAAAATTGTTTAACAAAAAAGATTCAGATTATCCTCGAATTTAAGGATCAGGTATTTTTCTGTAAGAGTAATATAGCGGAGTTCACAGAAACATCACCTTTTTAGATTCAATATTGCAGTTACGCCCTCTAGCAGCCATTTCAGAAACTTGAAAATATTTTCCGGGTTTTTCTCTTGGTCGTTTTTGTAATAATTGGTTTTGCCGCAAGCCTCCACGATAGATAGGTTCCCATAGGTTCGCATTCTTAGTTGACCACCCTGTACTTATGCTGTGCAGACAGAAAATAAATCATAATAGCATTCCTTCCAATCCACGTCAGTTAATGTGAACTTACGAGAACTTTGGAAGTTACCGTTATTGTAGTGATTGCAGAATCACCACAATCGGTGTCATATTTCAACAACAATTGTGGGCTTGGCAAATGTGGGATAGAGAATTTTCAATGTCGAGTTTCGCAGCAATACGAGTCTAGGGATGTTGTAATTATCCAAAAACTATATACGCAAAAAATGAGTCACTTACGATCGATATCCCTTTAGGTATCTATCTGTACAAATGTATAGTCGGTACTCAGCGGGAAGCTTGTAAAAGCTTTTTTGTTTATAGAAATGTCCCCAAATAAAAATTACAAATTAGTATTACGATAAATGGTCGCTCTGGAGGATAGTGGTGGTTTTATAAAGATGGCGATTGACTAAAAGTTCTTAAAATAAACGATCACTCCTGTAGTACGTGGATGTTCCGGGCAAGTAAATAAATACCAAAGATCACTCACCTATCAGTCATCACAATACCCAAAAAATGATAAGGCAGTTGTTCACAGGTCGAGCGCCGCAGATACAATGATTTTGTACGTGTACACTATCCGATTATTCTCACCTGCGTTACATATTACGCCATCTTACAAAGTAAACAAAATGGTTACTGTGCGTTTGCACGACACTTTTTCCATATTCGATCGGAATATTCGCCATATTTGTGGATGCGGACATCTGAGGGAATTCCTTATTAAATATTATTCATTTTATCTATTGTGTCCTTAACCTTACATAAAATAGTTAAGATACGGTAGTATCAGGCATAATAAAATTTATCTTGTCAACATTATAATCGCAACCCCAAAGACAAACTTACTTTTTTATCAGTTTAGATACTGGATGCAAAATAATGATACTGTTAGATTACATTATATCTTTGTATTACGCCAAGCATTATCAGTGATATTCTATGCTCGCAGCTAGTTTCAATTTCTCAGTGCGTAAGGTATCTCGCTAGTTGATATAACCTACAGTTATCCGTGCCGTTTTGGATTCTGTTTCTGTGTACAGTAACAAAAAGTGTGTATCAGGAAGCTACTTTGTTATACGATTTAGGCTGCGGACAGAGTGGCACAGAAGAGGATAGTCTGTATGGCTCCGGTTTCTGGGGAAACATTTGAAAGCTTCTGTCATAGTTCTTGTCACGTGCCAAAATCACGTAACCTTTTTTTTTACTATTTATCACTTATCCGTAATTTGAATTTCTTTTCATTGATAATAGAGTGCCCATTCCTAGGCAAAAGCCTTTTCAATGATGTTCTTTTGGCAAATTTAATAGTTTACTGATTGTATAATTTCACTCGTTTTATATTTTTCTTTCTCACCGATTCAGTATGGTGTTCACGATCAGCAAACAACTCTGTAGTTTTTCTCCGTTAGTTGGTTTCCTATAAAACATATCTTCTTCAAGGCCACTCAAGATACCTTCTTCAAGAACGTTACGTGTTGTGCGTGACTCGCTTTTCTGTTTCCGTTGAGGTCGTGGTGAAGGGAATTTTCCGGACTCTGGGATATTAGGCCCCAAGCGCCAATTCATGGACCAGCACCCTTTTTTTTGTGTAAGTTTAGTCATTTTGGTTTGGGTGCTACGTCTTCCATTTTTTTATGGGATTTTGACACTCTGCGGTAAGTTCTTTTTTATATACATTCGGACCACGTGCCTTAATGCGTGTCCTGATGAAGTTCGTTCAATATCTGCTTTCTTTTAGTCAATAGAAACAGAAGAGGATCATCATCCTTTCTCCTCCAGTTGTTGTATCTTGTTGCAGTTTTGCAAATTGGTGGAAGCCATCCCCTTGACAAAAAAAAACCTGATGTGAACAGGTATAAAATCATTCTAATTAACAATTTCATACATCTTTATACATTTTTCCACATTTATCCATAAAATTTTAATTAACTCTAAGCCAGAATACCTATGTGAAAAAATTATTTTTAATAACACCATTCACAATAGAGCTATTAGAGACAGGCACGTTATCAGAATTCCGAAGCATACAACATCTCTGTTCCAACGAAGTTTCTCATATGAGGTTGCAGCAATATATAATTCTTTGGACAGTAAATTTAAGACCATGAGTTTACCATGTTTCCGCTACAATGTTAAGTTGAGTTATTTGAACGATTAACTTTTCCCTCAATATTCATAGACCTTTTCAGAGTAGCAGTATGTGCACACAAAATATCTCATTTTCCACTTCTCATATGGGTTATAAGTGATTTGTTATATATATTTTGCATTTTTTTTTCTGTTAGCTGTTAACAACGTAATATTTAACTTTAGTGGTTAAGTGTTAGAGTAGCATATTGCTAAACTTCGCCACTATAGTTACACTTTATATATATATATATACACATGTATTGTATATATTATTTAATAAAGACGTTTATTATTATTATTATTATTATTTATTATTGCTTACTGAAATTCTTAGAGAATTCTTGATTTTATTGGACATTCTACGTATCCAAATATGGGGCCTACTGGCCGATACGACCGCCTTTGTCCCGAGGATGTCCAGGTTGTGGAACAATCTACAAGAGGAAACCTTTTCGAGATCCACTAAGCTTGGGCAGTTCAGAAATCGGATAACAAACTTTCTTTGGGATCATCATAGCAGCCGCCGTGTCCCGGCATTTAGGCTTCTGCCTGCACGGCTGCTTCAGTACGAGTATAAAAAACATACATTCTTTCCACATTAACTTTCAAATTCAACGTTTGACCGATCGCAATAATATTTATTTTTTAGATGTTAGAGTCCAATGGAAAAATCAGAGGGTATGCTGAGTAGACGTGTTTGTTGCTGCTGTTTCTTATTATCTACTAGAATGTATTTTTTGAGATCGAATAAACCCGATATTAGAGATGATGGTGCATGTGAAATCGACATGAGTGAAATATTAAACAGTGACGTGATTAAATGTGCATTCAGCGAAGCTATACGTTCTGCGATGAGTGAGGTGGTCGCAAAAATGAAGGATTTGCATGAAGAGGTGATGATGTTGCGCGAGTCAAATGTGGAGTTCAACCTACTAACAAATAAAGGTGCTATGCATAATATGGCACATCCGAATAATCAAGTTGATCACAACAAAACATCTGTTAATTGTAACGCAGAAGAAACTAAATATCCAGTAGGGAACAAAAATAAAAACGAATCATCACAAAAAACTAGCAACTATAAAAAAGACAAACCAGAGCAAAAGCAACTATACTCTAGGCGCTGAAGAAAGAAACTAAACCCAAACAAATACACGCATATTGCTCGTGAGTGAGTGTTTAGGCGCAGGAGACATTACAGGACCGCATCAAGATATTATGGGTAGTCATCAAAAATTTCATACAAGATAATTATTATCTTTTACAGTAAATTTCAGTTAGAGATTCACAAATGAGTTAACTACACTTTTTAGTTATTAGTAAGTAAGCTGCGCGCACTCATTCAGAGGAGGAACTTGAATCTTCTGAATCGTTTAAATGAATTATTAGAGGTTCAATTTGGGTATCGATGACATTGTCCAAATCCCACATTTTGACCTCAACCTTCTCCCGAACGTGGCGGATACAGTTTTTCCATTCCTCTGCCGTAACTCTATTGACTGCGATGTGAAAGAGATTTTTAACATCAGAAAATTTATAAGTATTATTATTCGACGCCACGTATTGCTTTATGTTGGCCCAAATCAGCTCAATAGGGTTCAGCTCACAATGGTAGGGTGGCAGTCTCAAGACAGTTTTATTTTGTTTTTTGGCCATTTCGTCGATCATTTTAAAATCGTATTTGTATTTATGTCTATTGGCTATACTTATCAATTCACCCTTGACCATTGTTTCATCAAAATCGATCTGTTTTGAGGCCAGCCATTGTTGTATGTTTGCTTTTTTAGTTGCCATTGTGGGAATTTTTTCTATTTTTCTAGAATGGTATGGGGCATTATCCAGTACAATAACAGCGTTATTCTCCAGCTTTAGTAACATTTTGGAGAACCAATTTTCAAAGGAATTGCCGTCCATCTCCTCATGATAGTCCCCTGTCTTTTTTGATTCAAAGGCCCACAGTGCTTCGGGAACAAAGCCGTCTTCACTACCTACGTGACAAATGATCAGCCGTTTGCCTTTTCCTGGAAATAAATTATTCCTTACACTATGGATTGATTAAATTTGAAGGAATGAGGCAATTGAGTTCATTTAGCTGAATTTAAGAGTCACGGAATGCTGATCAAAAACTGAAAAACGTAGATAATTGAAGTTTGCAACTTCTCAAAACCCATTCAAAGCAAATTGACTGCACCCAAAAATGATAATAAATTTCAAAATAACGCTTAAAAGAGGGTCGAAGTTTTTTTCCTAATGACTACACTGCGAATGCACCATATTTGGAGAATATCACACATTATCTGCTATCATTATTTGCCCGAATTTAACAAAATTAAATTGCCGGATAGATGAAGGAGCTTACCTGCAGGATTTTTCAATCCAGCCGAAAGACCGTCTAGAAAAGCCTGCCTTGATGATGTTACTGATTTGTCGACCCAAACTTTCGCTTGAGTATGTCCAGCATTCACCCACGTTTCGTCCAAATAGTAAATTTTTCTTTTTTCATCGCGAAACTTCCGAATCTTCCTAAGGTATTCCCTTCTCCACACAACAATTTCTTCTTTCTCTATTAACATACTGTTTCTTCCCCGTTTCAAGAATCGAAAATTAAGTTCCTTCAAAAGTTTTCGGAATGTGGTTCTTTTAAATGATGGAAGATCCTCATCAGCATTAACTAATCTTAATATCTTATCTACTGTAGGTATCTCATTTCGGAAGAAAAAATTATGCACTTTCCTGCTGATGGCAGTTCTGTCAAAGTCATCTACTCCGTCCGTTATCCTTTTTCTTGCAGGATACGGTTTTGGCTCAGAAAGTGAGTGAGTGCTCCTATATTCCTTAATGATCCTATAAACACTGGACCGACATACTCCAGAAATATGTGCTACCTTACATATAACTTCGTCCACGACCAAATCGGGTTTTTCTTGAATTTGGTTTTTGTATATATTTAATATTATTTGTTTTTCATTTGCACTTAAATGTAGCTTCTTAGCCCTTTTTTTGGGTGGGGTTGCGCTAATGTCAACCACTTCGTCGGCTGTATCTGTGTCAGACATCGTATCTTAGGCAATATATAAACAAAACGTTCCACTCGCGAAAAACGAGTATACGCTACTGAATGCGTAATGCGTATTCAATGCAATCCTGTGCGTGAATTAACTGTTAGATGCCTGTCGTGTCATCTACAATCACGTTTACAAGTCCAAACCTGTGCAGATTCGTAGAGCGCCGAGGACTGCTAGTGACCTTGAATTTGTCTGTAGATCGATGTTACTCCAGTCAATTTAGGTTCAAAGTGGATGTTTTCTAAACCAATTTGTTGTTCCTACATCAAAAATATATCGATGATGTTTTGTACTGGGAGCTGATGAAAGATCAAGGTAACTTATTTTAACAGTCATCCTTTTTCTAGTCTCA